GTGTAGTTTCACGTAAATATCATTGAGCATATTATGCAAAATGCTATCTTTTCCGCACTGTGAGATATTTATTACATGCTATGGCCTTACAAACTGGTTAATTTTCTAATCCTTGTGTACAACAAACCATTTGTTGATGCAGAACAGATTAAAATCAGATTGTTTTCTTGAGGTCTGGTTAAACAGAAAGCCCCACCCATACCATCAATTCCTTCTTTGACTCTTTCCTTCACGGTGAAACGCCTCGTTTATTTTTTTCAACTAACTTATACTGAAGAAGAAGGAATTGAACATCTTAAATTTTGGAAATAAATAAAATAAATACAAATTCTATGCTTCCCACCTTCAGCCGGAAATATAATTATTAGCACGTTTTAAATCAAAAACAACACCACCGAGACTTTCACATTAGTCCAGTCTTTAAAAATGTTTTATGACATATTTTAGGTATTGATTCATGAAGCTTTCTTCTACTTTCAGCCATTTGTTATAATGTTACTTGAGATGTGGTTTGTAGTTATTGAGTTATTTGAGTTTTGTGAATTATTTGAGTTATTGGGCTATTAAGTCAATTATTTGGTTACTTTATTGGACCTTTTAGGGTACGTTAGTTATGGAGTAAGTGTTGTCACCCACGAATGTGAACTCGCCTTACCTGTATAGAAAGCTTCCCATAGCGTTATATCAATATCACAGCTGGGCTTACGTACCATGAACTCGTGCACCTATTTCCCCCTCACCAGATGAAAAGCATCTTTGAACTAACATATAGTGTATTAAGATAGGCACATTGTGTCATTTGTACACTAATTGTCATAGGATTTTCTGTTCCTATGAGCAGCGAGAACACCATGTCCGTGTCTTCTCGACATCTCTTTAAGATCGAAAGGAATAAAACGTCGTGAATACTGAATAGTGCGAAACAATATGATATGATTCGGTCGCTGAAGACGTTTAAATGGAAAGGTCTTATCAAACACTATGATAAAGTGAATGGGAGTGATTTCATTTAATAACTCGAACAGTAACGAGAAAATGGTGACCATATTACTCTTATGTTTTCTCGAGCATGAAGCATATAAAAAGGACATCGGTTGAGCCCATTGATGTCACGCTCCAGATGCATCACGATGACTCCAGCGTCCTGCTGTTAAAGCGAACTGTATTAGACTCGCAAGACTGGATATGTGTACCATGGCACGCATATAACTCTATTGATATCTTTCATCAGGGTCAGATCATTTTAAACGTTTATAAAAGTAATTGCTTTTGTCTCACAGAATATTTTATTCAGGACATCGAGCATGCCAAGCTAACGACATCGTTGTGAGTGCAAAACGTATATTTCTAAAAAACTGTACCCTCCACCACAACCGGAAAATGAGAATTGATTAAGAAAATCAGCATCAGTGCATTTCAGAACAGATCTATTGACACCGCTTCCAAGCCATGCTAACCTGTGAAGATCCGGGTTAGAATTGGTCTTCAGTAACCCATGCTTGTCGTAAGGTCAGGCTCGACGACTTGGTTAACACTTGTCATCGTATCCCAGTAGCGTAGATCGATGCTCATGCTGTTGATCAGTGGATTGTCTGGTCCAGACTGGACATACCGCAGCAAAATAGCTGAAATATTGCTGAGTGCGGTGGAAATTTAAACACACTCACTCGCTCAAAATATAGCCTGTTGATAGTTGTAAGTATTGATTCTACTGGGCGTTTATTATCTTTCATGCAATTTGTCAGTTATATCGAGTCTGAACCTGGTCGAGAGAACATTGAACGTGCAACGCCTTCGGGTACTTCATAAAGTCAGATTCAGTTACAGAGGCTGACCACCCGATCCCCACTGAATGATGTCCTGCGAATCTGTTCTGTGGTCAGAATATCACACATTTGTATAACTGAATTTAAATTGTATCTGAAATAAGTTCACACTCTATTTACTTTATTTATCACACTATTTTATACAAATGGGAGATGGTTGATTGTTTAGACCAGTTTGCAAGCAAAGCAAATACTGATTACAATATGTAAATAAGGTCATGTGGCATGTTAATAAACAGCCTCCAAATCCCCCTCAATAGTTCCAAAACAACTAAATGTTGTTTTTTTCTGCATAAAACTAGCTTTAACGTCTTAATCGCAGATTATTTAATTATGATAGTACAATTCAGTATTCAATGGTGATAGTGACAGATCAGTTGTGGTACACAATCAATATGCTTGCAATCCTACAGGAGGTATAGTGTTCTGTGAGAACATTAAATACGGGGAGGTACAAGAACTTGTACACTTAACAGCACCACAAGCACTCAAGGTTTCAAATTAAATATTAATTTGCGATCGTTAGAATTGTTTCAACACATCGAACTAAATCTCCAGACACCATAACGTGGTCTAATTGATCTAATAACACCATTAGGGAATGCCATAGTGTTACAGCGTGTTGTCATGCAAACATATATCAATTATGCATCAGCATGATCTTCGGCTACTAAAAACTCTTTGAACATTTAGGATGTATGTTGCACATAGAACATATAGCAATAGGAATTCAGAATGGTAACTTGTTTACCTTTGTTTATATGTTAGGTATTTTCTTTGTCGTTACATCATTGGCTTGAAAAAATATCTGCTTTGTGTCAAAATATGAACCCCTAATCACATCGTTCGGGGTGAGTGTGGCAGATACCCTGTGTATGTTTATGCTTACAAACGTTGTAGTAAAGGTCACATGCAACGTAAAACACAACTTTGCAGATTCTGATACCTTTCGGTATGGACTTACCGAAACAAATCATCAAAAAATGCAAATTCAACTTATAAAGTTAAAAAATAACGCGATGAAAAAAACCGCGCGAAATCGGAGTTCAAACGTTTCACTAAATTTCCCCAGACTTTTCTGGGGAAAACGGGTTTCAACAGCTGGGCTGCGCTCATAGCATGTGCGCAGTGAAATAGGTTCGCGCAACTTGGAAGCGGGCTGTCTGGTGAAAACTCGGTGAAGGCTTTGGTGTGAGCTATTTTCATAATGTTTTGTTGATATCTCACAGGCGCGAGCTTTTTATATGTTATGACAGTAAATAAACTGTTTATATAATTTCATTTGTCTATTTCACCACACGTTCTTCTTACCGAGTCACTTTCTCAGTTCGATACTTAAAAGCAATGTCATTATTTAGCGTTGACACAATTTCTAACTGTGATATAGATATGTCGTTGTCACAGACAAAACTCAATGTCTTGTTTTATTGACACCTGTGTGTCTGCCTGCTTGTCTGCATTCTCTTCCCACAGAGGTTACTCCTGTCATATCTTCCTACGTAACCTCTGTTCTAATACGGCCCTTTCATGGTGTGAGCGTTCAAGACTCGTGATTGGAGACAATCAGATTTAGTTGTGCAATCAGCAACGTTGTTTCAAAAGTGATCATTCGCAAGGCCTCGGTAATTTCCGTATGCTTCGAGAAAACTAAACTTCTTCCCCTGCGCGATGCGCAAACGTTTCTTCTAGACAGAACTCAGTTATGTTATGGCGGATCAGTGGCGTCTCCATCGCCCTCGTTGACAACGGACAAGCTAGCCACTAAACGTCTTGTGTGTAACATCAACACAAGTCCCCGGCAGATGGGGGATATTTGTGGCCCCACATTTGCTTGTGTTAGTCAAGTTGAATCTAAGTCGATGTAACAGGTGTTCTGATTGGATAGAAAGAAGGGAGATAATTTGTGTTGCGATCTTTTGCCGCTAGGGGATTTTACGAGAACCGGGAAATATGGCCGTATTAGAACAGAGGTTACGTAGGAAGATATGACAGGAGTAACCTCTGTGGGAAGAGAATGGCTTGTCTGCTAATGACAATATTCAATACACAACTGCGATCACTGACCACATGCAATTTGAACTTAACACCAATCAGGCTATACACCATAAACAAAACGCATTGATTTATGGCCCGAGTTCGGTCTCTGTCACATTATGTAATTACACAGACAGGCAGGGGTGATACTTGAACACATGACATGTTATGATGTCTGTTGATTGCAAAATGTTATACACAAAACTGATCATGTAATTACAAAACCCAACATCTCTCTATATATACACACAATAAGCCGTGAAGGCAGCATCTGCTAATGAACCAGCCGTTACGCTTGAGTGCACACCCACCCGCTCTGACTGGGTTCGGTATCCCGCCTGCTTCGTTTCGAGGGAGGTAAACCCAAGTACAAAATATTGCACTTTTGATTTGCGATTATACGCTTATAATTTTGTTTATTTGTTTTTTCATAATCAGCAATGCATATTATATGTCATGAAGAAGTGATAATTGTGTTTTAATTATGTTTGATTTTTTGGTTGCATGTGACCTTTAAATATTGGCATAAACTGTTGAAGATGCCAGCATCTCGTTTGCCCAGAAAGTGCTATAACTTATTATTGTTAGATGCTAGCCATGGTAAAACAAATTGGGTATCAAAACTTAAGTTATTACTTTACAATATGGGATTTCCCAATTCCGTCTTGTCTGAATTTATGATCGGGGCTCAACATATATCCCATCAAGAATGGCATAACTCGTTATCATCAAGTTCTAAAACTTATTCATATTCTCTTTTCAAGTATAATCTATCTATGGAACCATATCTTAGTGTTATTAACATTAGTAAGTTTCGCATTGCACTCACACAGTTTCGCTGTGGTTTCCATCAATTACATATTGAGACAGGTAGATACACAAATAAGCCCAGACATCACAGGTTATGTAACATGTGCGACAATGGATATATAGAAAACGAGTATCAAAGAATTAATTTGTATTTGTATTAACTATATAATGACACGGTCCTTTAGATATAAACCATATAAATACTATGTAGATAATTTATCTCACATGTACAACGAGTGTAATACAGTAATACAGTAATTCAGTGTAATACATACAAAAGTTATGCATCAACAGTAACATGAGCTGCGTCTGGTTATTCAAGCAACATACCTTTATACTTGAAGTCACTGTCCGGTTTGGGTCAGACAAGGAGTTCTATTCCACTGACCCACATTATCATCGACGGTAGACACTTAACACTTGATATTGTTGCTGTGTCCTTGAGGCCGTAACAGCTTTCTCAGTAATAGATTTCCCAATTCAGCAAGACTCACTTAACAATCTGGCCGGGCCGGCTGTTCTGTTCTGATTGTCATTGCCTTACTATACCATGTGGGCACACACCGTGTACAACACATGTGGTGGCGAATATTAGCCAGTCAGGATCAATCGGTGTTCAGCTAGTCGTGAGGACAAAACACCAACGTGTTTCATGGAAAGACGACATTTTGCTGGACACCGCCTATTCAACTGTTGCACTGTCGGGTCCGGCATTATGGTGTGAGAAGGCGTCGTTGTCGCTGGAAAATAGTGTCGGTTACAACCGCCATAAATGACAACTAATCATGGTGACTTAGAAAGGCTGCGCGAATTAAATGGGTCGAGCTGAGTGATATATACAGAACTATAACACACTATGGCTGTCGACGTGAAAGCAACTAAGGGTGTCACATTCTTGTTTCGAAGAGACACACTTGTGTTGCTATATGAAGTCAAAGAAGGCCTGTCAAACTATTGTTTTTGTAAGGCAATTTGCTTGGTTGTTTCTATATTACGCTGCACACCTTAGGTCAGTACGCCGTTCTCACCAGCCGGCTCAATCAGGCGAACACGCGTTTTGTCGAACGTTTAACCACACCTATTTTATGGTTTCAAAATATTTGATTTAATGAAAAAACACCTTTATTTTGTATCCCCAGTGTTGTTTCTTCTGTGTTTCGCAAGTGGTCCACAATTATCATCATCACCATCATCATCACCACCACCATCATCATCATCACCATCACCATCACCATCATCATCATCATCATCATCATCATCATCATCATCTACCCTGTTATGAAGCCCGATTCATTTTGTCGCTTCTAACGATAAGCATTGGGATAGTGGGGTTGTATTTTACCGGGACAGACCCAACCATCGTTGCACGATGACTTTCTATCATCTACATCATGAAAAACAATAGTTGCAGTAAAGGGATATAATATATTAACAGGGATTCCTGACAACGGATCTTTTCACAGCTATATCTATTTCCTTAATGGTGCTGCTTGAAATATAACCACACTATGTCTCTTCTAGAGTTAAATTATTTACCCTGTCAGGTATACGAAATCGGTATAACCTATATACATCTAAACATTTGTAACAAAATGCCTTGTTAAAATCATAAATGGTCATGTTTAAACGATGTCTTACAAATGTGCTGTTGTTTTTCAAAGCTACCTTGCTGGAAATCTATTTTACTGGAAATCTATTTTACTGGAAATCTATTTTACCGTAAAGGCATATACAGCTGAAGTCGAATCTCGTTAAGTCGAATGTTCTCTGCATCGAATCTTGTTAAACTGCCTCCCTGCCCACAGGGGTTCAGGCCTACACCATCTACCGTGTATTTGGTGACGCGCAATTGAAAGCTGACATCCATACATTTCCCCATTCACGCGTGTCTCTTCCAAAAGCCATTCAAAGAAATTACGTCTACTTTTTTCAAAATGTTTTTAATAATTTAATTTTTAATTCAATTCGTAACTTAATAACTGACAAAGACAGACTGTGGATTTTTTATGCCCTTTACATCAAATTGTGAATTGGTTCTGCAGTCTGTTACATTAATAAACTCTATTTTCTAGCTCAGGTCGACTTTGTGACACCAGGTGGTACTTTCAACTGGTGGTTCTTACAAAGAAACGTGTTACCTGGCATTCACTGGCGCACGCAGCTCCAACAAAACAATACACGTGCTTGAACAGTGACTGCCCCTATAATAGCCGATGTTATTTATGGCGGAAGTATGCTCAGTTGCGCTGGCGAAACACCTGCCCACCTTTGTGAATCAGAATGGTTTAGATCACTTGTAGCGATTTTCCACCAAAATCACGACCGGCTTTTAATACTATTAAAACAAGGCTACACTGAGTGAAATATCCACGCACGTTAAAACTTAGTGTTGTTCAAGGCTGTACTGAATGCTGGGCCCATGGATGTATGGTAATTCTATGCTTCGAAAAGACAAGTCTAGATAAACGGACAGTTTATTGTTTAGAAATTATCATTTAAACTATTTATTTTTACCTTAGAGACTTGTGCAAGTCTAGTTAAAATTCTGGTATATACCCGATACCCTTATAAACAGTACGTCAACTGTGTACAGATCCTGGTTTCATGGCTGGAGTTACTTATGTGTAGATTTATAAAGTGAATGAAAGCCGCGAATAAAATTCATATTCTTGTGAATGACGTTAAAACATACTGAAGTATGAGAACAGATGTTGCTCGGGAAGATCTAAGGTTGATAGGCATTTTATCACTAGAAGCAAAAGTCTTCACATATTCATAAGACATTTCATGACAGCCCATTGTACGATTCCGACTATATTAGGAGCGTGCATGTGGGAAAGCCTTTTAGTTGTACATTCATATTCACAGCTTTCTTACCTTTACACCAAATCGAAGCTATATCTGGGGATAGTCAAACTGGGTATTCTTGTGCACTGATGTTTCATACCTCCACGTGTTGAATACTTTAACTACGATGAAATAAGTTTTGAAGAAGCGACGTATACACGCTATTGAGAACGTTTCTTCAAGGGGGATTGGTCAAAGTGAAAAGTTTTACATAATTATTTTTATATGTATACAGAAACAGTGAGTGAGTGAGTTGGGTTTTACGCCGATTCGACCAATATTCCAGCAATATCACAGCAGAAATGGGCTTCACACATTGTCCCCATGTACCCATGTGGGAAATCGAACCCGTGACGAGCGAACGCTTTAACCACTGGACTACCGCACTGCCCACACTAAGGAGAAAACAGAGTGCATGCATATGTAGGAGAAAACAGAGTATATGTACATGCATATGTAGGAGAAAACAGAGTACATCCACGTGTAGAAGAAAACAGAGTACATGTACATGCATATGTAAGAGAAAACAGAGTACATGCATATGTAGGAGAAAACAGAGTGCATGCATATGTAGGAGAAAACAGAGTACATGTACATGCATATGTAGGAGAAAACAGAGTACATCCACGTGTAGAAGAAAACAGAGTACATGTACATGCATATGTAAGAGAAAACAGAGTACATGTATATGTAGGAGAAAACAGAGTGCATGCATATGTAGGAGAAAACAGAGTACATGTACATGCATATGTAAGAGAAAACAGAGTACATCCACGTGTAGAAGAAAACAAAGTACATGTACATGCATATGTAAGAGAAAACAGAGTACATGCATATGTAGGAGAAAACAGAGTACATGCATAGGAGACAACAGAGTACATGTAGGAGAAAACAGAGTACATACATCCACGTAAACAGAGTACATCCACGTAGACAATAGAGTACATGTACATGCATATGTAGGAGACAATAGAGTACATGTACATGCATATGTAGGAGACAATAGAGTACATGTACATGCATATGTAGGAGACAACAGAGTACATGTATATGCATATGTAGGAGACAACAGAGTACATGTACATGCATATGTAGGAGACAACAGAGTACATGTATATGTAGGAGAAAACAGAGTACATCCACATGTAGGAGACAACAGAGTACATGTACATGCATATGTAGGAGACAAAGAGATGTACATGTACATGCATATGTATATGGGAGACAACAGAGTACATGTAACAGAATACATGTACATGCATATGTAGGAGACAACAGAGTACATGTATATGTAGGAGAAAACAGAGTACATCCACATGTAGGAGACAACAGAGTACATGTACATGCATATGTAGGAGACAACAGAGTACATGTACATGCATATGTAGGAGACAACAGAGTACATGTATATGTAGGGGGAAACAGAGTACATAATTACATATACTACCCATCAAAAGTATAGATTCCCTGAAAGCACTCACTATATGTTATTTACATATATATGGTTACATTGAAGATTGATTTCTCCACTAACCAACTGCAAACTTTTTGGAGATGAACTTCAAGAGCGGCGTAAAACCAGTCAGTCAGCTTAGCGGGAACAGATCCTTATGTAACAAGGGAATTTCCTCGTCATTTCTAACTGGCTAGCGGTTAAAGGGGTCTATTCTGTACAGTATTATATCTATTTCTAGCACAGGTGTATGTGTTGTGATGTCTGTCCAAGTAAGTGAATGAGTGAATATGGTTTTACGCCGCTTTTAGCAATATTCGAGCAACATCACGGCGGGGGACACCAGAAACGGGCTTCACACAGTGTACCCATGTGGGGATTCGAACCAAGTCTTCAGCAAGACGAGCGGACGCTTTAACCATAACCACCCCCTTTCCAAATGAGACAATATCTTTGTGTAATCTGGGTAAGTAAGGTATTATCAAATTTATACGCTTATCAAAATAAGTTAATATGATTTTTCAGGCAAAGAGTGTCTTGATTAACTTCAAACTTGCAAGTACTGCCAATCTGACTCAACCATGTGTACGTAAACCTAGGTCAGAAATTAGGTCAGTAGCTTGATGTTATGTTGTACATACATACATACATACATACATACATACATACATACATACATACATACATACATACATACATACATACATACATACATACATACATACATACATACATACATACATACACATCCATCCATCCATACAACATACATACATACATACATACATACATACATACACACACACATACATGCATGCATGCATGCATACATACACATACATACATACATACATACATACATATACATACATACAAATACATACACACACATACATACACACATACATACATACATACATACATACATACATACATACATACATAGGAGGACGGTATCCATTGCCGTAGTATGATTGGCTGCCTTAGGTCACGTGTCTGATTTTGACCAATCACGATCCTTATAGCAGACTGTGGCGAAAAAGCGTCATTAGAAACCAATCTTTATCCAATAAAATCGCTTTTTACAACTGTGAAAATACTCTCGGCGAGGGTACAGTGATATTGTTGATGTTCCAGAGCTGTCGAACGATACCAGACACCACACGATTCGCCTCGCATGTTATTCATACAAAGCTTCGAAAACGGAGGTATTTCCCGTTGTTGTGTCATGTTAACGAACGGAAAGCCTGATTACATAAAAATGAAAATATGAAAGAAAAAGGCACGGGCATGTTATGACATGTCACAAATGGAGAAAAAAATTGCTACAGTTTTTGCTTCTTTCGTGGTTTATCTGGACATTATAAATGTAAGCCTGCATTTTCTTTAAAAAATAAATTGATTTAAGTTGTAGTTGTATTATTTCAATTTTATTATAAAAATAAACTTCATATTTATCAACATGATATAGGTAATGTCTGTGAATGTCTACA